CGGATAACCACAAGAATTATCTGCAAGGCAGAAGCCAGCTGGAGGGCCCGAGCCACGGCCTCAGAAGCAAAGGCACTGATAATAAGGCACTCCCAAAGACCCTAAACCTGACAGCCTTGGTTTGCCTGGTAAAACCCATGTGCTGACCACACGGTGCTTGTACAGCTCTCTCAGGCAGACTCATTCCAGAAGGAATGCTAGCTTTGGAACTGCCTTTTTAGCTAAGGGAAATGAAGAGTTTGGTCTTTTTCACACAGGCTGAATCACAGAATCACTCAGGTTGGAAAAGACCTTCAAGATCATCGAGTCCAACCATGACCTACCCATGCTACCCTAACTAACAACCCTCTGCTAAACCACGTCCCTAAATCATATCCTTTGCATGTCAGCAGCTCCATATGCACACACTTAACTGTTTTATTTAACAAGTTCTGTTCATAAAATAAAGCATGTGAGTATCTTAGGGCCATGAAAACTCTTGAGAAGCTTTTCATATACAAGTATTTCCTTCTACCTATTACCTAAACCTTGTTACACAAGATAAAGTAGCCATCCCAGTCAATGAGAATGAAAACAATATTTGAATCACCTGAAGCATCTTAAAAGAAAGTAAAAACTCCCCAGTAGGTAACTGTATCCCTCTGAATTTTACACGTTAGCCTGAAATTTCTGAGAACAAAGGGGTGGTGTGCATTATCCACTGCACAGCTACAGAGACACAAATCCTGCTATGAGCACTCACAACTTTTGAAGGACCTTGGCTGGTCTGTGCAGTCAGGCTCCCAGCTGAAGAATGGACTGCTGCTTAAGGAAACTGAGTCACAATTACTGGATATTATAGACAGCCTTTGAATATTGAAGTTTATTATTTGTTACATAGAACTGTGAGTTCCCTAATTTTATCTGCCTTTGATTCTCCAGGAGTCCAGAGAATCACAAAGGTGATTTACTTTAGTTAACAAAACAAAAAAACAACTCACAATGATAAAATCCAAGGGAGTGATTCATTCTCCTTCTCCTGAGAAGGGAAAGAAAAGGGCTGCTTCTCCCCAATCTGCAAGAGACCACAGCCTGGCAATGCCTTCAGGCAGCCCCAACTGCATGGCAATGGGAACAGCCACGGTCAAGGAGCAACCGTGAGCACAAGAAGCAGTAACAGCACATGGAAAGCAAGGGGAGAAAGGCAAGAAATGCAGGTAAAAACTCTGATCTGACAACAAACACTGAGATAAAAGACTGCATACAGAGCTGTTACAAAGAGAAGTAAGGCCATCACTGCTTTTGGGTGCAAGCACATGGGTTGGAAGGACTCCCTCCCTGTGTCCCTCTGAGTTGGTACAGCCCTTTCCTCGAGTTGCAGGGGAATAAAAACTGATTCAGTTTTTCAGTTTCCCAACAATTTATGGAGCTTCCAGCTAAATAAGTGAAAATGTAACCATTTTCATCTTGCTGTAGTTTGGGAAAGCACAAGAGACCCTGGAATTGCTTACACGGGCTTCCATTACAAAAAGGCAGAAAGCACTTCTTAGATAAAAGCTATGTTTTGTGGAGGATTACTCTCTTGCTTTTGGAGCAAACTGGTTACAAGCACAGCAGAGAGGGCAGAAGCACAAACAAGTCATTTCTGAACTGGCCTATCTCCCACTGGGGATGTGGTAATGTGTCAGCAGCAGGCAGGGAGAACTTTAGTTGGTTTCAACCACAAACCTTTTCTGTAGCTGAAGGGAATGTCAAGAGTTAATCCGAGCCACTGGAACAAGGACTCTGAGACTCTATTCCGCACACAGCACTACGATCATATGATGCTGAGCTCCCTTTACTTCCAGGCAGCAAAGTGCTCCAAGTGGTTCCAGCTAATAATATTTTTACATTGAAGCAAATGCACAAAGGATGGCATAGGAACACCGTGTGATCATCAAGAGTCTACAGCTAACATTTGAGAACTGCTGTACTACATCCCAGTTTTATTCCAAAGTGACCCGGGAGAGGCAAGAAGAGAAAGGTTAGTTTGCATTCAAATTGCTTTCCCCAACTGAGGCCTTGTGGGGCTCCTTAACGTGGCTTTTGGTGACAGTGTTGGCTTGGCACACACACAGACCTACAGAGCCAGAGCTCCTACCAGACGCTGTGTGAAAGTTCTGTTTTCTCATCTTAATTTAGCCTTCATTCGCAATTAAAAAAAGACGGCCAATCCTGGATGCTATTCTTCCTGAAGCATTTCCTCCAAATGTCTTTAAAGAATACCAGTTGTTAATGAGCAGCTTGTCCTTTCACCAGATACAATGCAGGCATGCTTAAACCTGTAGCTACACCACTGCGGGACTTAAAGCCAAACAGTTGCTTTTCATTTCTGTTAAAACCTAACAGGGATGCTGCCATTAAGCAGGCTTCCATCTGCTCTGTGATGCTGAGAGGTTACTGACATGTTCTGGAACCTTTTCTCATTCAAACAGCTGGCTACACCAAAAAAAAAAAAAAGCTTGTACTGTTTAAGAATAACACCACAACAGCAATACTGAGATACACCAACAATGGCAGTAAGGAATGATTTTGGAGGTAACACAAGACTTGGGCTCTCTTGATCTCAGCTCTCTCATTCTCTGCTTACACTGAACCAGCAAATATCAGGGATTTTACTCCATGTGAAAAGATGAAAACAGCAGAGTGCCAGCGTTGGGTGGCTGAAAGGTCCTTTGAAGTCTGTTCACACTCTTAGGATTAATCCCACTGGTTCTCTTGTTCTCCCTCCTGCCCAAAGAGACTCCTCTGCAGTGCTTTACTGTTTGTGAAACAACACAGAACAGACTTTCCACGCAGTCCAATTAAGAAATGTATTTTCACTCCGTTTGAGATCCGTGCTTAAACGAGTTCTCCCTTTGCAGCTTTTTGAAGAACTGTGTGACAAAGACATCTCTTCGTGCTTCCAAAGGCATTCCTTGGCTTCTTTCAAGTCCAGAAGTGGTAGATTCCAAACACAATACAGAGAAAATGTGCAACCTCAAGCAGTGTAAGGAAAAAATAAATCACTTCAACTAAAGAAGAAGCAATGTTAGAACAGTTATGCTAAGCCTCCATGTGCGAGTGTAACGCCCAGCCAAAGATGCTCTGTTCTAGCAATCTCCACCGAGTGCTAACAAACTGGGAAACCTAAAAAATCAGAGCGGACTGCTCAGCAAGGAAAAGCAGAATTTCTCCTACTTCTTGCTCACTGATTGTTGGAATGGTGAACTAATCAGGAACACAAAAGCAGTTTCTTTAAACTCATAGTGGGAAGTGAAGGAGAACTGGGATAGAGAGCAGCTACTGTTTCTTAAGCCCTTAAAAGAAACCGTAACCAGAAGCAGAAACAAACAATGCTTTGGTACAGCATGCTCCTTTATCAAAGCTTGCTTTTGGCCTTCCTTTTTCAACAGTAAACTTTAAATAGATCTTTACCAACATATTTTGGCTCCGTGCTTTTTCTCCCTACCCAGAGAGATCCTTTAAAGAGATCTTAATTCCCACTTCAATAAAAGTAATCAATCAATATTTGATAACAACTTTCCTAAACGAATCTGTTGAACAACTCCACACAGTAAGAACGCCATAGATGGGAAGGCACGATGCAGTTCCAGCTCTCCAATTAAATGCACAGATATCATCAATAAATCCACTGCTTGAAAGACTGTGCGAGGTCCTCAGGAGGCCAATTCCAAATAAAACAAAACCATAGTTCATTAATTTGCCCTTTCTGTGGCTCACAACGAAGCACCCACGTGTGCACGCTTGAGGAAATCAATCTACATCCCACACTGCATCATTAACAAAGCAATTAGTGTGCCTTCATGTCACAGAGCAGTGCAGCACACCTGATTTCTCCGGTGTGAGCACTCAGGGGGCCAAAGGCTAAGAGGGACTGAAACTAAAAGGAGTAAACAGCACTCAGGTGAGAACCACACTGCCCCAATACACACAGTTCTCCTTGCCTAGCATGGCCTAACAACTGGTTCTTAAGGAGAACCGCCTCCCCAGCTGTTGTAAAAGTAAAGTTGCATCAGGAAACTCAGATGCCTTCAACCACACAAGCTGATAAGCCCAAACATCATTACACAACGTGATTACAGACTTCTTCATAGTTATCTCAGAGGATCATAAATTTCCTGAAAGTCGGTGGGAAGGCTCAGCTGCAACAAGTTTCTGTTATATTTATTTCAGATCCTTTACACTTGAGATGTTGACACTCCTCACCGTGACAGCGCAGCTACAAAGGCTTTGCTAAGCCTCCACCACCACGTTAAATAATAACTGCACAGTATGCTAATTGACTTTCCTCCAGCAAACTGTCTGCATTCCCTTCCGATTTCCTGTAGCTACAAATATGATAATCAGGAGAACAAAGCCTTCGGAACAGCCACTCAGGAGCCAGTCAATGAAGTGAGGTGCGCCTGACTCCCTAATAAGCAAGGAAGACCTGCAGCCTCGTTTGTGCCGAGCGCTGCAAGCCCACGCCAAAGGCATATTGAAAGAGAAAACAGCAAGAAAATCCACATCTGAGCAAAGTTCCTCTTTCCAACATCAGCTACAATCCGAGCCCTTGGCAGCACTGCCATTCTCAGAGCACCCAATTTACCTTTAATTCCCACTTCCTCCCCAGCCTCTCTGGACAGCAGCTCCTGGCACTCCATCAGTCCCCTTTTATCCCCGTTTCTTTTTATAAACCCAAGGTCAGGTTTCCTCTCCCCATCTCATGTGATGCTCTGGATTGAAGTTCTGCCAGCCTGGTTTGCTCCAAACCACCGCCAAAGCCCGGCGCCGCTCAGCGAGCTGCTCCACCATCCCTCAGCAAAGAGATAAAGGAGAGAAAAAAAAAGAAAAAAGGAAAGAAAAAAAAAAAAAAGGGAGGGGAAGGAGAGCCCCAACTTTCCCAGCGTTGAACGAACGCAGCCGCACGGCGCCGCGCACGGAACGGGCAGCGCAGGGCAGCGCAGGGCAGCAGCCGCCCGCAGCCGCCCGGCCCTCACCTCCTCCTCGCTCTCGCTGCGGAAGCACAGACAGGCCGCCCGCTTCTTGTAGCCGTCCCCGTCGTAGGTGCGCGTCTGGTTGGACTTGAGCTTCATCATCCTCCGTTCCCAAGGGGCGGCCCGAGGGACGGCGAGGCCTAGAGAGGCGGCGGGGGCGGGCGGGGAAGGAGCCGCCGGGGCTCCCGCGAGGGGCGGGCGGGGAAGGACGGGGGGGACGGAGGGGGACCCGCCTCCCCGCGAGTCTCTTTCTCTGTCAGTCTCTGTCTCCCGCAGGCCGGGAGCCGCCCGCTACGCGCTGCCGCCTTTCGCCCGCCTCATCCCTCCCTTCACTTCCAGCCGCTCCGCCGCCGCTGCCGGCGCTCCGGCCACCGCCGCCGACGACGACCGCGACGCCATCTTGGGGCACGCTACGCAAACGGCGTAAAGCCGCCGGGCGGGGGAGGGGGCGGCTGCTCCTTGCGGCTGCACGGCGCGCCCGCCACGCAGACGGCGCAGTCCGGCTTCCAGAATCGCTCCCCCACCTCCCCGCGGCAGGCGCGGACGCCGCCACCACGCCTCCGCCCGACGCCGGCGCGGCGCAGAGGCTTCAAGAATACGGCGGGGGCTGCGTGCCGGGGCGCCCTGACAGCTACGCAAAAGGCGGCGAGGCAGAGCCGGCGCCCGGCGCACATGGCTCCGCTTTGACAGCGGCTCTACGCAAAGCGCGCAGACGCCGGGCAGGGAAGAACGCCCGACTTGCGCAAGGACGGCTTACGCCAGTGGCGGAGCGCGGTCGGGGGGCGCAGAACAAAGGGGCGGGCGGCGGGGCGGGCCGGGGGGATGGGGCGCAATGAGGGCGCCCTGGGCTCAGCCTCAGCCCGCGGGGTTTGGGGTGGTAAAGCGGCCCTCGGGGCCGCAGCCAGGCTGGGTTGGGATCTGCTTTCCTTCTGCTCTCTTGGAGCTCCTGCGTAGAAATACGTATGAACATTACAAGAAAGCAGGCAGAGGTTTCAGAAAACCCCGTTGGATCCGGGCAGTGCAGTGGGCAGCTGGAAAAAAAGAGCTGCTTTAATGCACATCTGCATTAAGAGCTGTAGGCCGTGCAGGGCATCCTGGCTAAATCCAGCCGTGTGGGACTTGGCCGTTTAGTCACAGTTATGTTCAGCTCCATCGAGGTGCACAAACTCGACAGGAGGCAGATGGGGTGCTTGATTAAAACGAAGGTTGGAGGCACCCCATCTCTCCCCGCAGCTCTCAGATAGCAGATTTTAACAAAATTTACATGCCTGCAATTTGCTCCATCCCTACACGAGGACTGTAAGCAGCTCCTTTCACCCTGGGTTCTTTGCTTCTGTATTCTGTGCTCCTAAAGCTGCTCTAGAAAGAAGCACCTATCAAGCAACAGAAAAGCATTCCCAATTAGCGCCATCCCATTATTAGTCTGCGGGTGACGCCTGCTGGCAGGCTGCATATTGCAGTGCAGCCCGGCCTGCACTCCTCCCTCTCCCACCTCTGCTCAGCTCCAGACAGCAGATGCTGTCACAACCCTCCCTTCTTTCTTAATCCACAGTTGATCAACCCAGTGAATTCAGAATTTCTAACGTAGGAAATGCTGACCCGCCTGCATAGGTTATGTGCAATTCACAACACAGGTCAAGCTAACTTGTTGAATTTTCTGTTTACAAATAAAAACTCACTCTATACAGATTTACTGCATTATCAGAAATGCGCGTGTTCCCAGGCAGAGCAGAAAAGCTGCCCACAGCACTTCTGCACTGCCAAGAGCTCCTCATTCCCCCCATAAATCACCTCTGCACATGAGCAAAACCATGTGTCAGTAACCACCACACCTACAAAGTTCCTTCCCATAAACTGTTTTCTAACCACAAGTTACTCCATCGCTGTGTGCATGCCAAAGATCCGAGTCACCTCCCTCTTATGTGAGCTCTAGAATTATACACTTAAATAAAACACACTGATGCAGCCCAAGTGGCATTTTCACCTATTTTATTATACACAAAACATGAGCAGGAGGTTTACTGAGGAGGCTGACCACGTCCACGACCAAATCCACCTCTCTGCAACAGAAAAGGAAGAGCATTAGAAGTCACCATATTAAACAAGCAACAGCAAATAAACTCAGTGCAAAAACCACTGACAGAAGGGCCAACTATCTGTCCTCAACACTGCATTACTTTGATGAACATCCCCTGCTCCAAGCATAGCTTAACTCTGATCTGAGACTAGCTACCCTAAGCAGATAAGTGACACTATGCAAAAATGAACCCATCTTGACCAGCTCTATCACATCTCAAACTCTTCTGTTTCTGTAGTACAAAATACTACACTTCCTCTAGAAAGCTCAGCTTGCTTCTCAGATGTGTCAATGACTTTTTGTAACAGCAGTTAAGGCTTTCAGTTTCCTCAACAAGAGTGCAGCAAGCCAGCTGAGCGTAAGGGACAGCAGTTACTGATAAGCACAGAGCATGCACAGATACAATATATGCAGTGTCTCTAACTCAGAGCACAAACACAAGAAGCCATTTGAATACAAATACTCACAAACTGGAATTCAGTGGCTGCTCCAGCACCAGCCTCAGCCTTCTTGTCAGCACCAGCTGATGAGAGAAATGACTGAGTTACAAACCAAAGAATCCACTGGCCAAGTGAGAATGACAGAATACTAAGGGATGGAAGGAAGCACTCACAATCATCCCATCCAAACTCCCCCTAAAGCAGTTCCTGACAGTAGGTTGAATAACAAAGCATCCAGGTGGGTTCTGAGTATCTCTAGAGAAGGAGACTCCACAGTCTCTCTGGGAGGATTGTTCTAGGGCACTGACACCCTCAAAGAAAAGCTTTTCTTCACATTCAGATGGAACTTCCCACGTTCCAGTCTGTGCCCCTCGTCCTGCCTCTGGACACCACTGAAGAGAGCCTGGCCCCAGCCTGGAATCCCCCCAGCACATCTTGACAAAATTTAAAAAAAGAATGATACTCACAGCAGGTAAAAATGACCTCTGCTGTGTAAATGCCTATGCTATGCCAATAGCCTCATTTCCCCATTTGCTTTTCAAAAGGAGGTAAATGCTGAAGACAATTTTTCCAAAGAGAGAAGCAGCACAAAGAGTAAGCTCAGCCTGACATGCAGCAGTGACACTCACGTGGAACAGCGCTGCGTCTGTAGGTATCCCTGTCAGCTTCTCCCCGAGTCAGACGCGCTGGGCGTTCACCCTCCAAACCTGAAAGCCAAAACAGCAACATCAGAGGACACAAACGGCACATGTCAAGTGTGACCCTACACCTGGTGGTGATCCCTCCAGCCAGGCATTACAGCCACCAGCAGAGCTCCACCTCAGCTCAGTGGATATAAGCTGAACTGGAAAAGCAATAGAGCAAGGAAAACTTCACCTCAAGGGTACAATTTGCTAGAGCTCGTGCTTGGGTTGGAGTCATAAACAATGTTAAAACTGAATTTACAGCATCCAACACAGAGACAACAATTATTTCTAATAATCAGAAGTGCAGAGAATCTGTCACAACTGGCAAGGCTGTTCCTAGCTATGTCACAAACTGCATGGCACTCTGATCCCAATCTAAAATACTACTATCAGTATTACAAATCCTCCACAACAGAATAGATTAATAAAGCTAAGAGCAGATTATCTATGTAACATCAGATTAAAATCTGACAGAATGCTTGCAGGAAAGAAGCAGTTGAGGTGGAACTGCCTGTTTCTGTGCAACTCATGGATTTTCCACAGAATATCAAAGATCAAATGCTCTCCCATGGTATCAGAGCAAGGTCTCCAGGCTCAGGCAATAAGACACAACTATAGCCAGCTGCAGCTTGGCACATCACAGCGGTCTCAAGCACGCTACAAGAAATGTCTGAATCATGTACCTCTTTTCCTCTCTATGCACTTTTTTCCCATAAATAAAAACCAATTATTCCAATAGACACTTATTACAAAAAGAAATACTACTCACTGATACATAAACTGATTAACTTCTCCTGTAAGTGCTCCTACATCCCTCATTTCCATCATGGTTAACCCATTATAACACATCCCAATGCCAACAGGTGGGAAGTTCCTTTGTATATATATATTTTTTAATTTAGTCTCCCCATTTTTAATTTCTAGGAGTTTAATTACACATAAAACAAACTGTAAATACAAACATTGAAATCTGCTTTAGACTGAGTGTTCCAGCTTGTTTACCAAGCGTCACTTGAGAGAGCTGGTAGCACTGCATGAAAGCACCAGAAAAGACAAATTTTAGCCAGGAACTACAAAAGCTTTCATCAGATATGCAGTCACTCCAGCTCTCTGGATAAATACAGCTTCTAAAGAACAAACTGGATGACATCTAAAGCTGAGAGATCAAAGAAACCATCACGTTCCTAGCTTCGATGCGATTCTTTCTTTTAAAGCAGATGATGCTACGGTTTTGTTTGCCTAAAACTCAAGTTGTGGGAGTTACACACAGAACTTCTCACCAGAACATGCCCACAGCCTCTGTCCTGAGCACAATGCCCAGAGCCTGCTGACTGGGCTAGGGCTACCACGCAGCTCTGAAGCATAGACCGGGAGGAGAAAGCTCTGTCATGCAGGCTCCCCTTTCAGGCTTTGTTTGAAGGCAGAGTAACATTCCAGAAGAAGAAACTGCACAAAAATAAAGCAGAAAACCCAACATCTCCCTACGCTGAGAGAGAATAACTATTTTTTGCCCCTAAGAGATCTGGGAATGCTGTTCTGTCAGCCACAGGTGCAGTAGCTCTCAAGAGTTTCCAGAGAATTTTGCTCTCCCTGCAGTTTCTGGCAGTTTTACAGTTCACATCCTACACTGCCGTGTTTCTTTGTTGCCCCTGGACAAAAACCCAGGAAAAGCAAACAAAAGGTATTTCACAGAGCACTTCTGGCAATCTCAGAAGAAAACATTAGCAAGCATTTAAGCATTTATGTTTGCATGACCATCACCTCCATCCTGCTTTGGGAAATGAAAAATCAGAACTATAAAACCAGCACACCACATGTACTTGTAGATTTCATAAAGCAATGGCAGCATTAACAGCATGCTGTGAAGCAAGTCAGGCTAACTGTACGTGATAAAGGCAGAACACTGCATACCCAGCTTCATCTCAGGTACCAGAGGAATCCCCACATGAATTGTACAGCACCAAGGCTCAGCCTCTGCACCCCTGCCTCGG